CCGCCATGCCAATTTCGGCCTGGTTGGGATTGAAGCAGACGGTACTCAACTTACCTTCTTCATTGCAAGTGTCTAAGAGCCGCATGCATTAACATTCCCGCTAAGAGGAGATCACAGCTTGAAAAAAGGTTTTTATTTTGAAACTGCTAAGCTAAGATTCTTTACATCCCTCAAGTTTTGTACTTCCCTCTGCTTTAAACATAATAAACGGGAGCGAGAATTCGAACGAGCTGCTTTTTCCAGCTTTCCATATGATTCACTGATAATCTCTCAACCGACCATCTTTTCTCTAGAGTTGTTTTCTTATTCGAAGTCATTGTACCTAACTCAATAAGAGCAGTTGAAATACTAAATTACTGAGATTTTCGATAAACCCTAGTTTCGATCTGTGCATCGAGATTTCTCACTTCGAGATATAGTTTGTTCTTGTCGGAAACTTGCTTATTGTTATCAGTTTGGGTTAGGTGATCGGTATGACTTTGAAATATTATTAACTTTGAAGGAAGGAAATCGACTTTGAGAAAACAAACGGTCTTTTACCGGTGATTATCAGGGGATCAAACAAGGAGCTAGAAAAAGCGGCTTGTATAAGTTCTCACCCCCGTTCATAATGTGTATTGTAAAGGGTAGTAAAAACACTTGAGAATAGAATAGACGATGTAAAATCTAAGAATTCGCAGTTTCAGAATATGAAGCTTTCTTCTAAGCTGCGATGCTTCTTCAGCGGGAGATTAAATGCATGCGGTGCGTCCGCATGTAATAATCCTCATTCTTCAATTGCAAAGAACGTCCTCAAAACGGGGTTCCCTGCGCACATGTGCTTCTGCAGCACCATGCGCTCCCACAATATAGAACCGTACTAGCTATCCGAGGAGTGGAGACTATCAACAGCAAATTGTTTCCCACCTTTGTTTTAACATATAATTTCAGCATCCTATAAACTCTGTTTTTTTCTTACGCATAGGCTCGTACTGCTCAATTTTACGTTTGATGTTATCATAGTCTAACCCGTGGAAAGTCAAGAGGACACACTTTACTGCACGAAAGCGTTACTGGTGCATAAAGTGCATCATCATCTGAAGTGAGTACGTGGTTGAGACAACCCTACCGATGCAAGGCTTGTAAAAAGGGGTACTGTTGTAACGCTCTAGCAAATTAGCGCTCAACTGCGTTCAAAAACTTTGCGAAAAGTGGCCCATGCCGCTACGTCCAAAGTGCTTACACAATTCTTCGCTATTCGGTCAATTTTCAATCAAACATGAACGCGTGAAAAATCTCTACTTTATATGTGGTGTACAGAACAGTAGAAGTTACAGACATTTTTTTGAACGATGAAAGGAACTGAAAGTTCCTTCCATTGTTCAATGACCTATCATAAGCCCTTTCAGATGAAGTGCTTCGCAATTTTTTGCCAGCTAGTAACCTTACAGCCGAATTTTCAAAAAGACTGTTATCATTCAAAAAATTCACAAAAGTTTTTCTATTATTCCCAAACAAAAGGGGCTCCTTACATATCATATTATGCATACATATTGTGCATATACATATACCGCAATTAAACGGGTGCAAGACGCATTTTTTCGTTTTGCGAGCAGCTTAGCAGGTGCGTGCTCCACAACGATCGCTATGCCAAACGATCCTGTCAGATAGTGCGTAGCACACTAAGATTAGGTAGACAACAGGACTTGTGAAACTTGTATTTGTGAAATTAGATTATACATTTGTTGGTGGACAAAACTCATCATTTCTTAATCAGGTTTCTGACATCTCTTATGTAAAGAAATCAATAAAGCCTTTTGAGCAGATTTGCTCTAGATCTCAGTTGCGGAAACATTCAGAGGAATGAATTGCCATGCTGTGCAAGAGAACGTTAGAAAAGAATTTTTCACATTTTATTGTGACATAAATATACTTACATAGATCTCGCTCACAACCGCGGATTGCTATTGTTGTTGTCATAATGGGACACAAAGGTATTGGCAAATACCGAAAGGCTATGCGTGAGTTGTTTTATTATCAATTTTTTCACTTTCAAATCGCATTCCAGTTAGTGTTTCGTGTTATGCAAGAGTACAGGGATACGATTTCCGAATCCTAAACTCAAGCCATTATAAAAACAGATGCCCGCAAAAGGATGTAAGTCAAACCTCAAAGAAGGAAGGATTTGATTTTTGTTTTTTCGAATGTGCTGACTTTGACTTCTAAAAAGCATCGTTGAAACTGTCAAAGTCGTGTCCTTCCTTTTTAAACTCAAAGAAAACGAACAAGCGATTCTGAGTTTGCAAACTGTCAAGTAATTATTGGAGTCGCAACTCAGAAGAATTAAGAGTGATATATTAAAGCAAAGAACTGATGAATTGTTTAGACTATCGCCATACAACTTAGTATTTATGCGTAGCGGGATGTTTCATAAAATTTCAGGGATTCTTTCAACGACACTGCATAGCGGCTCACATATTAACTTTGTATGACTATATACTATTTCTGGACGCCGATTTCGGTGTTGTCAATCCAAAAAAGTACTTGACTTTCAAAACTTCCTTCCTCATTCGTGTTGAAACAAGAAATTTTCGCCATTACAGACGCATTGAAGAGCACATCGATCCTAAAGTGGACATAATATTCTATGATCGATTTTATAATTGGGAAATAACGGCTGGATCGTATTTGGCAAAAAACAGCACATGGTCAAGAAATTTTTTGCTAAGTGAGGCTCACAATTTTTTTATATTTCTCTAGTACACAAATCCATATCTAAAGATTTTGCCAGATACGAAAAACGACTGCCTAAAAGTTTCCATGGGACAGATAATGGAGCATTGCATGTAAGAAAAAACCAGAAGAGCTACTGTACAATTGCTCATTGATATTTAGGCTTATGTAGCTGAAGTTGTTCTTGGCCAAAACCATACTGAAATGGCTCTCTGTATGGATATCTACAGAAAATCTAAGAACTTCGGCACTCTCTTCTTATACGAAGCTTGCGTCAGAGAAGTTTTGGGGGACGACGTCTACCTTGGAAAGATAAAAATTCTTCCAAAGGTGTCAAGACATTTTCATTTATTAGAGATGACATTAATCTGCCTAGGGTGTTGCATGGGCTCGTGACAATTGGTTGACGAATAGTTTATGGAGCTTAGAAAGGGACTTCATTATTCATGGTTGGAAAGAGAACCAGCTGAGAAATTACAGTAAAATCCCTGTGCCGTAAGTTGTGAATTCAATCGTATCACCCTTTTGGCTATAATTTTCGGCTCACCTTTCAATAAATACTCAAGTCTCTGAACACAAAACTCTTTTGTTGCGTTTCGGAAAATACACTGCAGTACACTTGAAATATACATGTAAACAGTCTGCAATTAGTAGAGAATATCCAAATTTTTTGCAGCATCGTCTCAAACTCAAAGTCAATGTGGTACAATCCACTAGAAGGATCTATTAACCTAAGACTATGTACAGAAGGGTAAATTCTAAATTCTTGATGAAGCAAACAGACAGTTTCTTTGTCCGTTTGCTTTTTC